TCGATTGAAATCCCAAATCCTTCGAAACCCTAATTTGAAAAACACAAATCAATCGAAAACGAGAAAACCGAACCGTAAATTGAAAGGAAAACAACAAAAGACCTAATCTAAACACATAAATCGCAACATAAACCTTCGATCTACCTTGCTCGATCGAGTTCTCCAAAATCGCCTTTTCTCTAGAGCAACTTTTTTTTTTTCTCCTCTTCGATCGAAATGCTTTTTTTTCTCGACAAAACCAAACCCGTATGAATCACGGACCAGCCAGGATCCGACACGTGGCTAAGGATCAAGGAAAAAAAATCCTTATTTACGTACTGATCCTTAGTCAATTGGGGTTAAATAATATTAAAGAAAGGCATAATTTGTTGGACCGGTGGGCAAGGATCGCAACGTTACTGCCGTTGCACATGGTCTAATGGTCTTTCATTCCAATAAACTACTCAAGTAGTGCTATGTGACCTGCAGTGCAATTAAAACTTAAAACTGTCTCTTAGTGTAAATCACTCATAAGAAACGAACATGAACATTTATTTTTCAAACAATTCAGATACAGATATACGTAATTTGCTGGAAAAAAATACTGGATGTACTTTATTACCTTAGTTACTGATTAGTTTTTAATTTCCGTTCTGTTACAAAATACTTAAGCTCTGATTCAAGTGCCATCTTCAATCCTAGATATACAGCATAAAATCAAAGATTATTTGTTATATAATAAGAAAACGATGAATCTAAATAAAGCGTAGTTTTAAATTTGCATAAGTTTTTGCCGTGACTGTTGAATTTAAAGAAAAAAAAAGAACAAAGACGATTTGACAATGAAGAAGATACAGAAGGGAAAAAATGGAAAAATAAATTAGTTGATAGAAATTTATATTAAAAAAAAATAACAGTTTGAAGCTTTTGAACATGGGATTGAAATTTTGAGAAAATCTAGGAATTTAGTTAGTTGGAATTGTAGAAAAAATTAATAGCTTGACATGTTTTTTAATTATTTTTATTTTTATATAGATATGACATATGCCAGAATTTGATTGGTGAAGCGACTTATGTTTTAGTATATAAAGGATGATTTGGAGTTAAAGTTCTTTTTTGTGAAAAATACTATTTTATTTTATAATATTATCTGTGTAGGATTTAAATATTAGGAAGGTAATTGTTTACAAAATGAAAAAATATTTTCTAATAGCTATTTACAATTCTCTTTTGTTTAGGAGTTTTTTTTAAAAGAAAGTTATTATAAAATATTATTTGTAAATTAGTTTTATATTTATGATAGATATTTTATCATATGTCATAATCTAAAAGTATTTATTTCCACGTGTTATAATCATCATGTTGATTAGTAACTTTAAAGAACCAAGTTTTACGAGATGAGAATTAATGATGTTAGGATTACATTAAAATTATAATTTTTTTATTAATTAATAGAGATTTTTAATTTATTGATATACTAATTGAACTAAAAATTTAGTTTGAAACTATAAATTTATATTATTTTATTAAGATATTTAGTGTATATTAATTTATAGATGTTATATTGTATATCCTCCGGGTTGAAATCTTATAACGATCCTTGGTTAAAATCTTAAAAGATCCTTGGAGAGGCCCATAAGGCCCAGAAACTCTTGTTTGTGCCATGTTCGAAGAATTATGACGAAAATTAGGGTTTAAGTAACGTGCAAAACACTCAGAGCAATTGTTGGACTAACCGATGAACGAGTTTCTAGCTCGGTGCGGGCATCAAAACAGACAGTTTCTGGTTCGGTCTTAGATTATCTTCTGCTCTGTTTTTTGGTATTTCTGAATAGATAGTTCAGTCTCAATCATTACTATTTCGTTGTAATGTATTCTCTGATACTCCATGGAAGAAGGTCTGTTGAGTTACATAGATGTCATAATCCGATGATTCTAGTGTATCTCTTACAAAATGCGTCGCCTTTTTCCAATTCCTTCTCTTCTGCTATTGCTGCTGATGTGATCTTTCTCCAAGAAGGTTGAAGAGGAAAGACCTTTACAGTCTCTTACCTCGTTGATTCTCTGGGTTTAACTAAAAAACTCGCAGAAAGCATCTCGAATAAAGTCAGTTTTGAGGAAAAGGGTAAGCCAGATTCTGTTCTGGGCCTTTTTAGAAGCCATGGGTTCACAGATTCTCACATCTCAAGCATCGTTACAGACTATCCACGACTGCTTATAGCAGATGCTGAGAGATCCCTTAGTCCCAAGCTTATGTTTTTAAAGTCCAGAGGAGTTTCAAGCTCTGAGCTCACTGAGATTCTCTCAAAAGTTCCTAAGATCTTGGGAGTGAAAAAGGAAAAAGCTTTCCTCAGATACTATGATTTCGTCAAAGAGGTTATAGAAGCTGACAAGAGTTCCAATTACAAGAAGTTACGTCGTTCTTCATTACCACAGGGAAGTAAGCAAGAGAATAAATTCAGAAATGTATCTGTTCTAAGAGATCTTGGTGTGCCTTAACGATTGTTACTCCCTTTGCTCATCTCTGATCATCAACTTCTCTGTGGAGATGTAAAGTTTAAAGAATCTCTCAAGAAGGTTGTTGAGCTGGGTTTCGATCCCACCACTTCAAAGTTTGTCAAAGCTCTATTCACTGTTCAAAAGTTTAGCAGCAAAGCAATTGAAGAGAAGGTCATTTTCTGTAAAAATCAAGGCTTTGATGTATGGGCCATGTTCAAGAAGTTTCCTACCTTTCTGAATAGCTCCGGGAAGAAGATAAATCAAACAATTGAAACTCTTAAGAAGTTTGGGCTACAAGATGAAGAGATCCTCTCACTGTTTGACAAGTGTCCACAATGCATTAGTTATTCAGAGCAGAAGATGGACAAGGCCATTGAAACACTTTTATGCCTTGGGTTCAGTAAGGCTGACTTAACAGTGATTTTGAAGCGCCGTCCTCAGTGCATTGGGTTATCCGCAGAGTCGGTGAAGAAGAAGACTGAGTTTCTGGTTAAGGAGATGAATTGGCCACTAAAGGCTGTGGCTTCGTTTCCAGAGGTACTTGGATTAAGCATGGAGAAGAGGATTGTACCAAGGTGTAACGTTATCAAAGCTCTCATCTCTAAAGGATTGATCAAAAGTGAACAACTCCCTCCACTAGCGTCTGCTTTGGTATGTACAGATCAGGATTTCTTTAAAAGGTACGTGAGGAAGCATGATGATGACGTGGCTGAGTTGATGGCTATATTCACTGGAGAGACAAAAACAAACAAAAAGATCACCTGTTGACTAGCTTCTTTAGCCATTGTAGGTATCTCCCTCGTCCCTGGAGATATGGCTCCTTTAGACTTGACTTCTTTAGACAAAAGTTTACTCAAGTATCGCTGAGTTGATGGCTATGTTTCACTTCTTAATTGCTGTTGCTTTATTTTTCCTATAACTCTGTTTAAAGTTTCCATTCTTTTAGTGACCATCCAAATCCTTAACAAAATCTTACCTAACTAGTGGTTATGAGAAAAGAAACTAACTTGATTTAGATTAATTTTATTTTCTAAACTATGTGAATTATGTTCTTAAAAACTTGTTTACTCTCAAATTTATGTGAAAAGGGCAGAATTTTACACCCTCATCCATCGTTGATAAACTCGTTTTAGCTAGAAAAGTCAAGGCATGACACTTTCAGGGGTAAGTTTTCTAAAAGCATTTACGAAAGATTTTCTATAACTTCAATAGAATTTTTTTTGTTCAAAAAAAGGTGGTGTGAAACTTCACTTCTCAAATTTATTTTTTTATTTACAATTTGATCCTTATATTTACATATCCTATTTATGATTCTTAGGTATTTTTTTTTATTTACCATTTTAATCTTTAAAAAAGTTTATATCTCACAAATATTCAAATTTATTTCTTAAATTAAGCTTTACACATAAAATTAAATAAAATTTTTAAAATAAGATTTATATTATTTTAAAAGTAGAATTAGACAACAAGAAAATTACAAAAAAAGTTAATTAAAAATACTTTTTAAAAAGGTACATGAAGATATAATTATTATAGAAATTTTAATATTACACCAACACTAATAATCTTGTTTATCTGTCAGAGAAGCTCCAAAATCTTCAAATCCGAACAAGTTTTTTGTAACCAAGATGGTTGTTCTTGTTGTTCTTGACGTCTCTTTTTTTTTTAATGAATGTTAAATTGTATTCATCAAAAAAGTCTTGTTACAAGATAGTTTGACTTAGCATACGCTAATTACAATCTTGTTGCAAACCAAAACTGTAAAATTTTCTCTCTATTCTTAATTCCTTTTAACTTCAGTAAGCTAAGTTTGTTTCTAACTTTTTTATCAATAAGCTTCATCATCTTGATCAAAGTCATTGACTTATCTTCATGTCTGATTCTATTTATCTCCCTCCAAATAGCATAGATACTCGCTTGTATAGCATATCTGATACAGAACATTCCATTCTGATCATGAACTCCAACACAATCAGTAATTAACCTCACGATCTCAGGCCAGTCATTCGTATAAATACTATGTAGTATCCCTTTCACAAGATGTTCCCAAATCTGACTTGTATAAGAGCATCGATAAAACAGATGGCTTCTTGTTTCAATTGCACCCTTACACAGAACACAAGTTAGCCAGCTTATAAAAGCAAACTTGGCGGTGGCTTGAGAAAACCAGACTCCTTTTTTTCCGTCACAAGCAAAGCTAGCTTTTCGAGTCAGCATCCAAGTTTCATTAGTTGAAAGGGCAGTTTTATACCCAGACTTCCTTCTCCACAACGACTTATCTTCCAAACTGCTTCTCACAGTCATCTTAATATTCTCCAACTCAAACTCAATGGCATTTAAATCCAGCATGCGATGCCTTCTCCTACGTCTCTTAATAGAAAAAACTTCCTCCAAAATGGCGTCTCTACTAATACACATATCTATGATACCTCTATCACCCAACAACTCAATCAAAACTCCTTTCCCAGACCAATTATCATACCAAAACGAGATGTGTCTACCATTCCCAACTTCTTTTCTATAAAACGTCTTAGCAACATCTCTTAAATTGAGTAATTTTCTCCACATCCACGAGCCAGACTGAGTATTAGCCTTTACATGCCAAAAACTCTTACCTTTTAGGAGGTTCTCTTTAATCCATCTACCCCAAAGTGACTCACCCGTAATCATTCTCCAGATAATCTTAATACAATACACCAAGTTAACTTCTTTGAGTTTTCTAATACCCAATCCACTCTCTTCTTTCAGCTTGCACACATCTTTCCAAGTGACTTTAGCACCTGAAGTTTGAAGATCAGGACCAGTCCAAAGAAAAGCAGAACAAAGATGTTCCACCTTCTTCAAGCACTCACTTGGAAGCCGAAACACAGTTGCCCAAAGTCTATTATACTCATCAGAACCGACTTGATCAACTGTAGGCGCCCCGCAAAAGAAAGATGTCTATTTGTCCAAGTATCAATTTTACTTCTAATCTTCTCCACTAGAGGAACATAGTCTCTTCTCCTCATTACCTGAGTCATCAGAGGAAGACCTAAATAACAGACATGCAAACTACCCTCAGCAAAAGGAAAATTCGTAAGAATTCTTCTTCTTTCAGCACTGAACACACCCGCCATGTAAACATTAGACTTCTCCAAGCTGATACTCAAACCCGACCAAATAGCAAACTCATCAAAAACCGTCAGAGCACCTTCAACCGACTCCTTAGTACCATCCACAAATACCATTAGATCGTCCGCAAAACAGAGGTGGGTTAGAGAAAGAGACTTACATCTTGGATGAAGTTTAAACCTCTTATCTCTTGCAGCTTTATCAATTTTTAAGGAAAGCACGTTCATGCAAATCACAAACAAGTAGGGAGAAAGTGAACACCCTTGCCTCAGTCCCCTCTTACTATGAAAATAACCAGCCATCTCGCCATTTACTTGCACTGGAAAGGAAGGAGTAGTAATGCAAAGCCTGATCCAATGAATAAACTTCTCTGGAACACCCAACGCCTTTAAACTGTCCAGAACAAACTTCCATTGAACCGAATCAAATGCTTTAGAAATATCTATTTTCATCAAACATCGAGGTGAAACAGAATCATTATGATAATCCTTCACCAGCTCTGAAGCAAGTAGAATATTCTCCATCAGCAATCTACCTCTTATGAATGCAGGTTGATTCTCTGTAACTACACGAGAAAGTAACAACTTCAGTCTGTTGGCATGGATCTTCGAAACCACTTTATAAAAGACATTACAGCATGCAATTGGACGGTAATCTCTCATCTCCATAGAATCAGACTTCTTTGGAATCAAAGCCAGAATAGTGGAGTTAACACCTTTAGGGAGAAAACCAAACTTGAAGACTGATTGAACTGCTACTGTGAAATCCTCCCCCAACACAGACCAAGCAGTTTTATAAAATTCACAAGGACAGCCAATAGAACCTGGTGACTTGTTTGAAGGCATAACAAAAAGCACTTTACGAACCTCTTCTTTCGTAACCTCAGCCTCCAACATTCTACAATCTTCAGACGTGCATCTGAAGTCAAGCAGATCACATAACTCCTCTTCTGTAGCGTCAAGATAGTTGTCAAGTGTCTTATTTAAGAACTCTGAGAAGAATCTTTCATCTTCATTCTTAATATCATTCTGAGATGAGACCACCTCCCCATGAGGACATCGAACTTCACGTATTTTGAACTTGACGGGTTTTAATGGCATTGTAGAAGGTCTTAATATATGATCACTAACTTCTAACCAATGAAGTTTTGCTCTTTGCTTGAGGAACTCTTCCTACAAGCTAGCAACATGTAATCATTTCCCATAAGCCTCAGCTTCCTCCTGAACTGCATCACTAGTAGGATTTAGAACCGTATTCTCTTGCTTAGTACAAAGAACTTTATAAGCTTCTAACGCTCTCTTAGTAAGATTTCCCAGCTTATTCCTTCCCATCTCTCTAATGAGCGGCTTTAAATCTTTCAGCTTCTTAGAGTATCGAAACATGGCTGAGGTAGAATGATATAGCTTTGGAGTAGAGTCCTAGAATCTTAGAAGTATCAGAAGAAATTCTTGAAGATCTCCAATGACATTAGTGTATTTAAACGGCTTCTTCAATTTCTCACTCAGAGGTAGAACTTGAATCTTACATCTGAGATGATCAGATCAGCCCCCTAGCTCAAATACTGAAAATGCATTGGAAAATCTGTGCAAAGCAACATCATTGACAAGAACTCTGTCTAGCTTCTTACAAATTATACCCTCCTCCCTTTTATTACACCAAGTAAATACCGGACCCTGATATCCCATATCAGTAAGATTACAGTGCAAAACTGCTCTCTGGAAGTCCCTCATACCTCTCGGAATCCTTCCTGAACTTTCAAAACTCGAAATTTCCTCAACATCTAATATTTCATTAAGTCTCCCATAACCATCCAAGCCTTATTGTGAAACATCATGGAGTTCCTATGATGACACAAATCCTCCCATAATAGCTCCTATCTTCCACCATGTTACTAGCATACACAAACGTACAAAAATAATCATCATGCTCCTTCAACCCAACAGAACAAGTAATCATCTGATCAGTTTTGTACACTGGTGTCATACGAACCGACTCCCTCCATAGTAACCAGATACGACCTCCTTGACTATACTCGTAATTAGTCATTGCTGACCAGTTACTAAACACAGCCTTCAACATCTCAATAGACTTCTTTTCCTTCACCCTAGTTTCAATAATGCAACCAAACTTCATCTCATTTTTGTTAACCCACTCTTTTACAACGGAATGCTTCAATGATTTGTTGAATCCGCGCACATTCCAGAAGAAACTAGCCATATTAATGTTGTTGTCGAGAAGACCTTGTACTCATAGGATAAACATCTTGAGCCTTAGCTTTCTGACCTCTCTTCCCCCCCCTTTTTCAAAGATCCTTTACTCTTCTCTTTCTCTTGCTTATCCAATATACTATCTTCTAACAACTCATTCTCCAAATTCTCCGACTGGTCATTCTCTTCCTCCATTTCAACCTCCGTATGATATATTTCCTCCTCTGGTATTTCACCTTCCTCCACATTCTCATTGAGTATAGAATATTTGGAAGCTGGAATCAAAATCGCATCCTTCTTCTTCTGAGCACTTTCCGATCTTCCGATTCTCATAGGAGAGGGAAGAGACCATTCATCTTTTGTTTCTTCATCCAAATTCTCTTTTCCCTCCTCCTTAGATTCTATACACTCCTTCTGATTACTCTCCTTTTGATGAGTGCCACCATCTATCTCCAATCCTTCAACCACATTTACAGTTTTCTCTCCTTGAACATCATGTCTTGGAGAACTTTTATGCTTCCTCTTTTGTCCACACACTCTATCAACATGTCCCCATTTATCACATATACTACATCTTGACGGTAACTAAGGGTAGTAATATGTCACTGTAAACTCTTTACCTCCTTTGGAAAAATTAATTTCCTTAGGAAGCACTTTGGAGACATCAACCTCTTACAAAAACTTTTGCCACTTCAAGGTTCGTACACGATAGAGTCTTAGGATGTAGCTTCTCTGGAACTCCCACCGGACTCGTAATGAAACTGAGAGCTTCCCAAGAGAACATGTTAAGTGGTACCTTCTTCAGATGTACCCACATTGGTATTGCTTCATCCTCCTTCTCATCTTCTTCACTCCCCGGAAACCATTTGGTAACAACCATCGGAATACCCAAATATTCCACATCCCCCTTCTCAATATCTTCTCCCTGATTTTTGGATTTGGAACCCTAAATCTCATTGTCGTATCATTTATCTCACATACCTCCACCTTCGCAGCTTCATCTCCCAAATCCTATTTAGAACCGTGTGAACCTTAGCGACATGAGGCACTCGATCAAGAAATTTCCCCACCACAAAGTCTTCCCACAACAGTGTTGGACTTGCGATGACCTCTTCCAGAATCTCTATGGCTTGCTTACCATCCTTATTTGAAATCGTAACTTTGTATTTCTTCAACCTTTTCTTTTCCTGAGCCACGGAAACCCAACTTTGATCATCCTTTCTCAAATTCTCACTTTCCCGAATATTCTCCGTTTCCTTTACCCAATATGATTGATCAGACAGATTCGGCGAAGGTGCCGAAACCATCCCCGTAACCTCCGTCGAAAACGAGATCGAAATCGCCAAAATCGCCTAATAAATCACCTTTGTCAAAACGCAGCGTTTTCTTTTTTAAAAAAAATCGCCTGTGTGTTTTTTAGTTCATGAGAGTTGACGTCTTTTCCGTATGATTCTTTCTTGTTCAGAACGAATGTACTCACGAGTATTAATATTACCAATATAAGCTAAGTTTTTTAGCAATATTTTATTTTCCTCGTTTACTTCTTTTAAAGCTAAAAGAGGATTTCTTACTTCAAAATACATTAATTGATCACATATGAAAGCATTACAAAAATAACTTTATGGAATAATGTGGTGTTTTGCTTGTACTTTAATATTTAATTATGTATTTCTATTTCTAGTTTTATATTTTAATGTAAATTTTTATTGATTAATATTTTTGTAATATTTTTATATATGTGTTAGTTATTTATAAAAAACTTATGAATTTTCATTAAGTGTGATAAATATAAGGACCATAATTTAAAATACAAATAATTTTGAAGTTTTTCTTTTGAAGAAAACACTTTAAAATTTTAGATATAGAGTTTGGAAAATTTCAAAATAGAATTCTTTTGTGAGATACTCTGAACGGGTAGATGGATTTGACTTCCTGTAAAGATTTTTATTTATGTAACCACTTTTTTCACTTCTACAATCTTTTTTTTTAACTCTCAAACATTTCAAGCACCTTGTCGCTTATGGCAGTGTTCATTTTCTGTAAGCTCGTTTGAACCTTCCCGAGACCCACTTCGAGGTCATCTAGCATGTCTTTGGTGATAGCCATTGACTATTTCGAGGTATGTGAGTCAACACCAACTGTTTTAGTTATAAATTTGGGTGGAAAACAAAAACTTGTTCGAAAATACTTTGATACCACTTTTAAGCTTTTAGTCCGGTCATAGCTATCTACTTTAATTTCTGTTGTCCCAGATTTGCAGGCATTTGAAGATCTATCTACTTTAATTTCTGTTGTCTTTATGTTCTATTTTAATGATCAAAGAGGATGGCTAATTCCCTCTTGTAACCCAGAAGTTTAGTTAATGAAGTTAATGTTTGCACACAAAAAAAAAATAAGTCCGGTCATAGCTATGATATAGTAGATAAGATGGAACCGTAGTTACTATTTACTACTAGGAACTTTCCTTCCTCCCACTAAGTAGTAGGACGTGAACAAGTTGAAATTGATTAGTAGACCAAGTCAAAAAGACTTTATCTACGTTATTTGCAGAAAACAAAAAAAAACGGGTAATGACCAAGTCAGAGACACTTTGTTTAAATTCATTTTTTCTTAAAGGCCAGTCGTGTTCTTGTTAACCTCTGACTCTATCATTTCCTCTTCCTCAGATGGTTTCTCTGTTTCTTCTACGACCATGTCTATATTCTTTTCTCCGTACGACGCTTCGCATTCTACTATATCGACACAGTAAGCGGTTCCCACCGGCATCTCTGTCTTTAGTGGTGGGATCTCATCGTTCTCAGCTGTTGTTGGACTCACTTGCTCAACCTTCAAAACCTTTTGTCACATAGATCAATTCAAAACTGTATGGCGTTTTTGTTTTGGAATATACTGTTTTCTTTTTCCTTGTTATTTTGCAACAATTACCAGAAATGATGATATTGAATATATAGATCAATATTATATACATCAAATAAACTTTAGGTGATAGGTGGATTAAGACAAGTGAAAAACATATAATCGGATATTTGGTTTTTTGCCCTCTTATACGAAGAATGTGATCAGTATTCAAAACTAACGAAAAGGAGTATATTTTGAAAATGCATACCTGGACAGTGGCCATTTGAATGTGTGTAAAAGAGGAAGATATCAAAGAAAATAAGAGAAGAGAAAGAAACTGCTATTATTTGCGTTTGGGGATGCTTTGATGAGTGAAGAGTTTTGGCCAAGGAGATTGTTAATTTATAGGAGCTACAAATCCTGTTTTATAGAACAAAACAAAGTATTGGTGAAAATGGTTTTAAGTTTTAACATATATTCTTTTACAAAAAAAAATGATTTTAACATTTACTCTTACCACAAAAGTATAAATAATTAACTTTTATCGAACATGTATACAAACTCTCATATTTGTTGATTATATACATATTTGTTTATTACAATATGTAGTATTACTTTTATATAAATTGATAACTTAAAGTAATATATATGTACTTTAATCAATCTCTTTTCCACTTTTTCTTTCATCATCACATATATAATACTAATACATTATCAACATGATTGTGTATTTAAAATATTCTAGCTATCTTTCACTTTTCTTTCATCAATATATAAAAATGCAGTTCGCCATTTTCTTATGGAGCCACATCGTCAATTGGTTAAAGGAAAATGAAACATCTCAGCATAAGTATTAAATTTTTATAAACTCTTTCACATATTTTATTATTTTACTGTTTGACCAAATATTTTAATAATGCATCATATATTTCTAAATATCTAAAAATTAATTGTACATTTTGAAACTGAAACCAACTGTATTTTTGTTGCGTCTATCTAAAAGTGTTTTGAATCTATGTGCATCAGTAAAAACACATATATACTAAATAAACAATCATATTGATTATGTATACAAAATGTATATGTATCCCCTATATATTAAAAGAGAAGTCACTTTAATGAATTTTACTTACGTGTCATTCATAGATGCAGTATAGAATTAATTATCTTAATTTGATTGGTTGTTGGCATTTGAATTTTTATTTATTTAATTAATGTTTTTTAAAAGGAAGCTAATCCTAGAATTACCTAATCTAATATATATTACCAAACAAAAAATGAACCATCTTAAATACACAGGATTAATAGAATTTGTTTATAGAAACAATTAAATATAACATATTTCATTATAAAAATTTAGAATATACATATAAATACATATTATATTATAGAAACAAGTATATAAACGATTTTAAATTTTTTCTATTAATAGATTTTAAAAATCATACATTACAGAAAAATAATAATATTTTTATACTCACTCACTATATATATGTATTCTTAAAATATGTTCAATGAATGCAAACCATTCAAATGTAAAAAAAATAAAAATTAAAAATCTATCATTTTTCAGAGATAAATGTCGATAGTATAGTTGAGTTATCACTTTAAAAAATTATTTAAGTATTTTTATATTTAAAACAGAAAATGATATGGTATGTCATTTTTAAAAATATGAATAAATAAAAAGTTTATTATAATATAAAATTACAAAAAAACATTATATTAATACAAGATTAGAGTTAGTATTATATTCATATAATTTATATAGCTTTAAGTATAATAAAATTGTCATGTTTATTTTTAAAAAGAAAAAAAAAAGAGACATACATAAAAACATGAGGGAATAATAATAAAACCTTTTGTTGTATTCTTCGTTATTTTGTATTTGTACATACATAATTTTTTATTTGTATACCAAAATATTTTTTACGTATTAATATAATTGTAAACTAATTATATTTAGGTGTTTATACAACATAAGGAAAAATTGAGCAAGGAAGATAAATATAAATGATAAGTTATAAACTTGTTAATGTTGAAGATGCAAAATATAACGTAAATTAATTTTAAAATAATGATAAGTATTTTTCGGTGTAATAAACTTTAAAAATATATGATAACAAAGTTATAACAAAATTTATACAACTAGAAACATGTTATTTTGATATATTAAAACTGTTGAATCTCATGTTTATATTAATTTATGTCTAAAATAATGATATCACATCATTTAAGAATTAAGATATTTTATTTTACATAATTATTTAATCAAATTTACTTTTTTGAAATACAGTTATTTAGATTTACTTAAAATATGTATGTAATAAAGACTATGAAGTAATTAAAAAACCAAAATTAATAATAAAATATTTATTTTTTCAATGAAAATTTTGGTTAAAGGAATCAATGTTTGATAAAATAGTGTGAAGATTGGAGAGAATTTGATAATGAATTTATTTGGTTAGTCAATTGTGATTTTATATTAAATTATAAATAAAAAAATATGTAATAAAGGGAGAAAGAGAGGGAGATATGGTGATGATAAGAATTAGAGAGTCAATTATGATCATAATGAAGATGAAAAAGAATATAAATGAGAGACTGAATATAAGTGAGATAGATTTTGAAATCATTTATTAATACTATGTCAAAGTGTTTAGAAGGTTTAACAAAATCTGGTGAAAATTTTGCAACCAAAAAGAGATAGGAAGAGTTTTAAAATGAAATATTGAGGATCATATTAAGGACGATGGTAAGAGAATGAATATAGGTGATTGTGAGAGAGTAAATGTAAGTTTGAGAGATTTTGATATTATTTGATCAACTAAGAGAGAGAGAAAGAAAAAGAGAGCAAGAGAGGTTCAGAAAGACATACAAAAATAATGCAAAGAGTGATACATAAGAAACAAAACAAATGTGTGAAAAATACAAGGAGAACGAAATGAGTAAAATATAAAAATATATTAAAAATAGAGTATCTATGTAAAAGAGAAAGAAAATTACCATATATTTATACATATTATTTTTTATTCATGTAATGTATAGATTATATTAATGTCCGCACAGACGTGCGGACCGTCTACCTAGTTATTATTATTATTATACATGTGATGATGAAAGGAAAAGAGATCGATTAAAGTAAAAAGTGAATTTGCTCAATATAACAAAAAATATGCTATTTAGAGATTTGCCATATTTTAGGGGAAAAGTAGTAATAGAAAGAGGAGAGAGAATGGAGAAATAGGGTATGCAACTAAACATTGAATTTTGTGTGTGTATGGAATCCAAATATTCTAAAGTAAATATATCTTACTTTAGGTTGTCATTTTATATAAAAAGTAATACTACATATATCTTACTTTAAGTTATCATTTTATGGGCATTTTATATAAAAGTAAAACTACATTTCGGTACGGTTTAAAGGATTAGGATTTTTTAAATGATAAGTATGTATTTATAAAGGAAAAATAAAGTCAAGTTTTGAGACTGTTATAAATATGGGTCAATGAATTGTAAAGTTATTTATTCAAATAATATCAAAACCTAAACGTGTATTTGCCTTAATATGTTTGTTCACAACAATTTTATTTTTAAAATCATAAATATATTCTCAAACACATTTTTTAACAAATAAAAGAATTACTAAACTTGGCTATACTTATATATACATTTTTATCAAATTTCAAAAGAAAATAATAAAATAGATAATAAGTATCATTATGTATATGCACATCTTATCATTAAATTTTTAAATTAAATAATTTAAATATCATATAAATTATTTTGAAATAATAATAAAATTTTATTTATCATTTTTTGTAATTCAAATACATGTGAATAAACTGAAATAAAATAAGAAAGGTGATTTAATTTTTTAATCGTAAACCAAAACACACTATTTATTTAAAAACAAAATTAATGAATAATAATTATATCAATGTATCTATTCTATTAAAATAGAGTCATTCTTTTTATCTACTGATACAAGTTGTCATTTAAATTTGGAATCTTTCTAGAATGTTACAAATAATATAAGTCATATAATTAATTGAACCGTATTACTTAAATTAAACCAACAAAATTAATATAAAAAGACGAACTTAATGTAAACTACCTTCAAAATACGGCAGATATCTATGTGTATACCAAAAACACATATTTTCTCCTACATATATGGAATGTTCTAAAAGAATATATATCATCAAAATATGGAATATGGAAATCTACTAATTATACTTAAATTAAACCAGTGGTTATTTATGGAATATAGTTTTGGAATTACTTTTATTTTTTGAACAAATTATATAGTTTGGTTTTTGCGCTTAGTATTAAGAAAAAACTCCAAAAACATTGAATAAACTTTTCATCTTAAAAGATCAAGAAATCAATTATTATTTTCAGACCCAAAAGGTATTTAATATTTTTAACTAAACAAAATTATCCATTATTAATCATTTATTTAAATCATGTACTTTAAAACATGTTAATATATTTTTTATTTTAAATAACAATCACTTTTTTTTGATAAATTTCAATGGTAACTTTTAAATAATTTATTATTTTATTTTTCTTAAATAATTTACTGATTAAAAAAATGTAAAGCAAAACCAAAAACCAAATCTAAAAACTAAAATCCAAAACCAAAAGCTGAAAACACATATTATATTTTTTTGCTTTGTTTATTTACAAAATAAACTATTACAATTTTTTTAAAAAAAAATTTTTTCATCTTTTCAGTTTTAAATTAGATGTCCGATTATTTGAGATTTGTTTGTTGGTAATATTTGTTCAAACTAACTCAGCGGGTTTAAAAATTAAAAACCCAAACCAAAAACTGAAAATGAAAACTAGAAACTTAAAAACTAAAAACCAAAATCCAAAATCTAAAAATAAAAACTGAAACTAAAAACTAATGAAAAACAATCATCACCAAAAATTTTGGTGAACTGATTTTATATCAAAATATTATTTAAATTATGACAAAACCCAATTATATAAATTTTTAATCATTCCGCGCTTTTAAGCGTGGGTCAAAATCTAGTCTATAATAAATTTGATATTTTCAATTAAAAATATATAAGCTCAATTATTTTTACATCGACCAACATACTCATATAATTATAATTCATTAAATATACAAGATCAATACTTAAATATTATTCAATCCAGATGTAGTAAACAAATATATCTACAATCTATATATATAAAGTAATTACTTTTAAATAGAAGTATAATATCTAAAATAAAAAATATATGTAATCGTTTGTCTAAAATATATCAATTGTATATAATAAACTTAATGTAAAAATCATATTTTAAAACTAATCAGTATCATTTTTTTGTCTTAGTTAGTTAAATTAGTTTTCAAAATAAGCTTCAAG